CAGTAGTGCGGTCTGCTTATCTCTATCACCGCCGTGCATGCATGCATGAAAACATGTGAAAAACATTGAAAAGCACTCCAGGCAAATGAAGCAGAGATGCAATGCAAGGAACAAGCCACATGTAACTATTCTTCGGATTCTCTATGAACACGAACACTCCCTTGACATGCCCATGTGTAAACACTGCGGCTGCCGTTTCATAACACGCATTAGCCCACTCTACCCTCACCAGGTTCTGTCCCCTGAGGCTCGGCAGTCCACTTGGACGCTCTTCGCTCCTCAACGGTGGCACACTGGGATAGGCTTATCCCTGGCTCTTGATGCAGTGCCACACGGCGGGGCCATTGGGATGAAGAATACGTTGCCTCTGTCAACTTTACTCTGCAAGAACTTGGCACTACTTGACTTCGACAAATCCAGCACTATGCACGGTCCTACTCGGTTCTTACACTTCTTATGGTCGATGCCTACTGCGGAAAATCCATGCAACTTCAAACACTTAGACAGTCGACAACTTACACGACCCTGCAAACAACTCAAACGTTTGCGGCACTTCGCCACCCACATTGTCACTTTGTCTGTTGGGATCGTGCCTTGCGGCGAAAAAGCTTTCTGTACATTCCACGGGATCGATGCGAGTTCTCCTGGCTTCGCCCGATTCCAGGCCTGCTTCAGCGGCCTCAACTGCCTTTCACTGGTTTTGGCAGTTCACCGCTGCGTGGCCCGACTTCCAGCAGCGCGTGCAAATGTGCAGTCCTTTCGTGCACTTTCCATCCTTGGCCTTGCAGGTCGTCATATTGTATCCACAACAGATACGTTCACCCTGCTTCATGGGCGTCAGACCCCAGAGCTCCTTCGGCATCTTGATCGGCATCTTCTTGGGCGCCGCCCCTTTGTCTTCCTCATACTGCAAGGTCTCCTGCTTCTTCTTCTTGGTCTCCGCCTCCTTCAGGCGTTCTTTCAACTTCTGGTTCTCCTTCATGAGTTTCCTCTTGCTGGCACTTGTCTGCTCTTGCTCTTGGGGCTGACTCTCCTTGGCCGCCTCCTTCGCCCCACTAGCCTGAGCCCCCGGCAGCGGCAGCAGCAATGTGATGAATGCCGGGTCACCAATCACTTGTTCCAGTGCCACATCTGCAAGGCGTCGCCCAGCTGGATTCCTCCCCAGGATTTGTTCACTCATCAGCTTCCACGCCCTCCTGTCAGCTGCTGTCACCTGCAACAATGTGACCTGGCTGTATCCGGGAGGTGGCTCGCGCTGGTACTCCTGGAAGACCTTGTCCACCAGCTTCTCATGCACTGTGAACGTCATCACATCCGCAACCTCAAGAGCCAGCCCACGGCGAGTGTACGCCTGACGCTCAGGTCGTGTCAGCATCAGGGATCTTCGCCTCGTCGTGTGCCCTCCGTGCATCTCTTTTGATCAGCTCCTCTGTCTTGATGTTCTAGAGTTCCTGCCCTCCACCTTCATTGAGTGGAACTTGTCGACCACATCGTGCGCTGGCTCCAGCTGGTCATTGATCTGCAGGTGGCCATAGGTGGTCCTCAGCAGGGCCCACCTTGTCTTGCGTTCAACTGCCGGCAATTTGCGCGTCTTCGACCCATCGGCCTCCTAGGTTCCCTCAAGCCGCTGTCGCAGCTCTGCTGCCACCACCGTGTTCATGGCGCAGCTTCGGCAGATCGGCATGGTCCGCCCTGTATAGGATCGGAGTGACCACCTGGTTGATGAATGCTGTGTCAAATCTCCAGCCCCTGGCGCCCAGCTGCTTGCGAAGGCGAACGTGGACAGGGTGGTCCAAACCCCCCTGCCCATCTCAGCTTGGTATATCATCGAGCCCGAAGTCTTTCAGCTTCGCCTCGAACACTGCTGCATGTGGACTCTGTTAGCGTAGCCATCGCCGGAACGGCCTGCCCACGCCCCGATCTTGAGCCTTCACTTCACTGCATTCACTCAACCTCTTGTTGCACCCTTGACTTTGTCTCTTACCTACTTCGTACTTCTAAGCTGCATGTGCTGACTGTCAACACTCATCGAACCTCATGCCTTGCTCGCCGCGCCTAAATCGACACCTGCCTCATTACCCGCTCTGCTCCCGCCAGTCCTCGGCTGCAAACTTCCATCGGCAGGACGTCTCCGCCCAACTTGACCTGACCCTGGCTACCCGGCTGCAGGTCGGCACTTGGGAACTTCTCCCACTGATCACTTCAACTTGCACTACGCCCTATCACATGCCACTCACTTATCACTGCACATGAGCACTTTTCCATACATTCACCGACTTACTTATGCGAAAAAGGGGGGCCGTCCAACGTCGACGTTTCGACGGCCCCTCTTTGTTCATACTTCTCTTCTAAAAGAAGGTTATGATCCTGAGAAGAAAAACGCAGCTGCTCGCTCTTATTTCTTGCTGCACGCCACGTTGAGGATCTGCCAGGCACTTCACCTGGCGCATCCCTCACATACTTTACAACGACTTCCAAGATCATCACTCCTGAGATAGGCCTTCCACAGGCCAACCTCCCTTCCACTTATTTCCGTGTGGATGGTTCCTGTGACGCCGTGCCTGTACAGGTCGTCGTTGGCCTTCTCCGGTGGCCCAAGCCTACTGTTCATGACAGCCTCAATGTTGCGCTCGTCCTCACTCTCCGCTGCCTCTTCCAACGACTCCTCTGTCTCACTTGATGAGTTGCTCCACCAGTCTGTAGGTCCTGCAAATATCCTGTCTTGGATGGGGAAGTTCTCACAACAAACCACTCTCTCCAGGATCGACACTTGGTGCACTGTCAATGCGTCTCTTTGCCTCAGCACGCTCTTGGTCAGGAAGCTCCTGCGGGCTGACCCTGAGATCCTGCCACTTTGCAAGATGTCATCAACCCCCCATAGCTGGATGGTCCCTTGCAGAAAGTTAGGGCACTTCTAAAGCTCCCGGCTCTTGTGGCTGGTGCTCCATCTCGACGTAGTTGATCCACGTATGCATAGCATTGCCCCTCATCCAGCGGGAATGGCAGCAGTCCCTTGGCTCTTGCCCATCGGATGTATAGCATAATGGCACTCAGCCTGACCTGCAAAGTGCCGTTCTTTTCCTTGGCGAACACATCGTCCAGAACTTGAGGACCGTGCTGACGGATCATCGCCTCCACTTTGCAGTGGTCCCCTGCTTCTGCTATCACCACATGCCAGCCTGCAAGCACTTTGTCACGCTCCTCAGACTGGGCCCTGTCCCACGACAGTTGTGCACTGCCTTTGACCACGAAGCTGGGGTTCACCTTGACGTCCTTGATCACTTCACTCTTGGTCTCAACTTGGACATCCATGAACTTGGCACTTCTGGCGCTTTCCATCAGCACGTCCATCGGCATCAGCCTGTCAGGCTTGCCCAGGACTACTGCCACATAGCCTCTCTCCCAAGACATCTTCAAGGATTCCGGGATGAACCTCTTGAGCTTTTGGCTCTCACTGGTGATCATGTCGTACTCATCCTTCTCAACTTCCATATATAGGCTTCTGCGCACGCGCCGGCGTCGAAGAGGACGCCGCCGTAGATTCCACCAATTGCCGAGCTTCATCAGTGGGCTCACCTCCACTGGCTTGTCCTCTGGCGGTTCTGTAGCTGAGTACATCTCCGTGGGCGACTCTGCAAACAACACGTCCTGCGCCCTCATAGCCTCGGTCTCCCTCACCCTTGTCGCCAGATCTTGCAAGCTTTCTGCCTCAGGCAGCTCTTCCTCGTCATCGTCAGGCACAGTTATTGGCCCCCCCGCCACGAGCTTCTCGGTCTCCCCATCCATGGAGGCACACCACACACGCACCAACTTGAAAAACTCGTGTGGTTGGGGGCACTTGTAGACAAAATGGCCAATGGATGCACAACCACTCATTCACTTATTCATTCGTTGTTGCTACGTTCTCAAAATACACTATTACTTCGTAACAGTCTGATTTTTTACTTTTATGTTATTGTTATTCATTTTTTGCTAACTTTATTTTGGATCCCTTTATTCATTAGGGCGCAGGGTCGGCTAACTCTATTTCGGATCCCATTATTAATCAGAGGTCTACATTAGAACCTCCATATCGCGAAAAAAAGAAAAAAGCTCTTTTTTGCTGAAATAAGTGTAACAAAAATGGAAGAAGGGAACATTTCCTTAAAAAGGAAACATCAGTCATAGTGAGAACATGTTGCAGTCAATCATTGCCATGTTTGCAAATGTTTCTTGACTCTCGCCTTGAAATACTCATTTATTCCAGCGAAGTCTTCATTAACTTCACAATTGAAAGTAGCAGGGCTGAGGATAAGCTGACCTCCCTGGCTTACATGTAGCTTGGCTTCAAAAACGGCCCCAGTCAGGAAATGAACCTTGGTTTATCCATGCATGGTCCAATTTTCTCTCCGGGAAATTCCACTACAATTCCGGGATTTTCCGCCACAATTCCGGGAAAACCTGCTACACGTGTTTCCCGTGAACTGTGAATCAAAGGTGCAATCCCACACTTACTGTGTCCGGATCAAGTATTCAAGCTCGAGGTTTCTTTCTGGCAGCTGAATTAGCTTACTATGCCTCAAGTAGAACATGCACTCTTGCAAGTGTGCATGGCTACATACTCATGACATGATGCGCTTCGAAAGTATGGAGGGACACCCCAAACACTCCAAAACCTCCGCCCTAAAAACAAAACAAAATGGAAACACCTGTTTTTTTCCACTTGTTCCCTTTTTTGTGGTCCTTTCGAGCGCTAGGTATGTATATTATATAGTTATATAGTCTTATATATAGATTGACCCTCAACAATAGCCTTTGTCAACTCCTTTGTCATATTGTAGTGAAATGCCTCAAGGTTCCCGGCACCTGATGTCCCAAAATGGGCAAAACGGAACATACGAACAGTCTTTGGGTTGGGCGATGGGTTGGGCGTCCATGCAGGTTTCAAGGTTCGCACAGCTTCGCCGTTTTCCCTCTACTTCCATCACCAAAGGAAATCCCTTAGCATCTCATAGCCGGGCCTGCCAATGTGGGCTAATCATAGCGTCTTTCTGCGTCATGTCCACCTGCACGCTGCTCGGACGATGCGCGACGCGTACGCGATGCTTTGAAGATTTTTCTGCTTGGGCCTTGCCCAACTTGGCAGGTGTAACGATCCGACCATCTAAAGCCAGAGAAAGTAACGAGACACTTGATTGAGTCTCATGTGCAACACCGCCTGGGGGACCAAATCGAACTTCGTAACTGAACAAAGACATGCAGCAAAAATGAGCAAATTACATGGTACATCATAGTACAAGCCGTTGATTAACTCTACTCGACTTCGGGGAGTTCATCTGCCGCAGTCTTTCGACCAACAGCTCCCCCAAACACACACTTAGTCACAGGGTTTTCAGTTAGCCATAATCCACAGTGAAATCGATGAGGGAAACGAAAGGTGAAGCAGTCAGCGCAACTGAGTTGTTGAACAACCTGTTCACTTGTCTGCAGAGGGCGGCGGTGACAGGCTGCAAGTGCGGCAACACGGTTGGTTTAGGGTAAGTATCATGGAGAACCACCATGGAATCAAGAAGCACAGCGGCAGGGCGGACCATTGGTGTCAGTGTGTTCGATGCAGGTACGCCAGACTGATCAGGTCTGGTATCACGACGACATGGATGGGTCTTCGTTGGCCCGTGCCATCCATGCGTCCACGAGCCCCCCGCTCTTGTCTTTGTTGGAAAAGCACAAACTCCTAGAAACGGAGGGGGGCACACACACACACACGGATATATAGATAGTGAGATTGCCGGCATGTCGCATGGAGGCTATGGTTCCGCCTGCACTGCGATAAACCCAAAGGCCATTGTGAAGGCCTTGGGAGTCGCAGGGATGGCGAGCGGCACAAGAGCGGCAACACTGCTGACCGAGCCGTTTCAGTTCCGTGTGTCAGCGGTCGCGGCTACTTGCCCGATATGTCCATTGCCCATTCAACTCTTGCGAGCAAAGTAAGATGTTCGCCTTTATGCTGGCACAAATTGGCAACACGTTACACGAATCAATAAGCTGGCAGGTCCAAAGGAATCCAATTCTAAGAAGCCCCAATCGACCGAGATCTGTCCAAGGTGCGGTTGACAACATCAAGTCCATGGCTTCGTGCCACGAGGCTTTGGTGTAGAGACGTGCATGCATGACCTGAGAACAGACCACCGCGTTGTGGGTCGCAAAAAAACACCTTATAGATCTAACATTTGCACCAGCAAAATCAGACCCATTTCATGGAGTTCCTCATGGGAGGCGATGATCTACGCCTTTGTTGCTTTTCCTCAACTTTCAGGACCAAATGATGGCTTGAAGGTGAAAAGGGCTTGCGAGTGGCATTTTATGCCTGCCCACCGCGGACCGAAGACATCACATGGGGAATATGGACCAGTTGGCACCATCGGATACCAACACCAAACCAATTCTTCGCTATTCTTCGATTCTATCATCTGTGGGGTTCACCCACGGATCTTCGGTTCTTGTGGTGGCCCATGGTGGACGGAATCGGTAGCCGTCGGTAACTGACCATGGGTTGATATCGAAAGGAACTGAGGGCAACCGCCAGTTTTTGACCCGTAAATGGATGTGAGCAAGGAGCCAAGTTGGTGGATACAACTAGCCGACTAGTAATTGCATGAAATGATGATAAAGGATGCATATGTGTGACTAATATGGGTGTAGACAATATGCATGTGACATATATGTAGTACCCATCGATGACACAATGGTGTGCGACATTAGGTGCATACACGCACTTCGAACTTGGAGTTTCAGTTAATGCGGTCTCCCGAGGAAAGGA